AATATTTTGAGGAATGGTAAATGGCATGTACTTATATAGCGCGCAGACTTGACCAAAGCGCTTTACACTACATTCATTCACCCATTCACACACACACTGATGGTGGCAAGCTACATTGTAGCCACAGCTGCCCTGGGGCTCACTGACAGAAGCGGGGCTTGAACCGTCAACCCTTCGATTTCAGGGCAAACTCCTACATCCAACGCTACTGTCGCCCCAGTATGTTATCCATACTTATAAATTTGAGACTTTTTATTGTAAATTTGTAATGCATACTCAAAAAATGTGTTGTTTGTACTCATACGTTAACATTTTTTTTACCTGTAAATTTGTGTATTTTTCATTTTTTATTAATGTTTGTAAATCTGTATTTGTAGAGCTGTATTGCTACAGAGTTGTAACATCAAAGTTTCTAAATTTGAACTCTCACACATCTTACATTTATAGAATTACAGTACATTTAGGTTCATAACAGCACATTACACTTCAGACACCTACACATACATTTTTTTGACATAAATCTTACCCATTGAAATCACTCTTATTGTGAAGATAATGATGCATTTACAGTAAAACCAATAAATAGGCATAATTTGAGTATCTGTAGTATTTGGGGTGCGCTAAAACGATTAATCCTGCAGAAGCTTTGCATCCCATTGTTGTCACATCAAATTAAGTCTATGCAAGTCAGAGTGGGACACCTTTCTGTTAAAGACGCTGGATACTTGGATTTTAGGTTTTTAACAGACAAAACAGAAAAATGAACCTTTTGAGGTTGAAGCTGAATTGTTAGTGTTGTTATAGCATTTCTAGCTGGTGTAAATGTGAAGAGATGTGAAACGCTTGAAGTTTTTCTTTTTACGTTCTCTTCACTCTTGCAGAAATGGCCATTTGTAGAATAATGCCAAAGATTTAATAATATTTAAATGTTCAAAGGATTGCAGATTATTCATGTTATACAACTTGAAGATGCAGTAGTGTCTACTGATCTATATTTATTCACTGGATTTCTGTGATTGCTGTGTCATATACCAGCCTTATGTTTACATTTGATCACCATGTTTACATTTTTCACTGCTGCTTACATTTTATTACTCCTGCAGTTTAAAAATGGAAATGTCATCAGAGCTGTACTGCATGAAATTTCTTTTTGTATACATTCTGTGTGTAAAAAACGACAATAAAGTCTGTCTATGTCTCAGTCTAGTCTAAAGTGAAAGGCGGTTGGTAGTACACGTTGCTGTGAAGTCACCTGCCGCCATATTGGAACTCCCTATTTAGACCGATCGGAATGTAAACAATACGTTAACTACAGCATAGAAGAAGAATGATGATGGGGCTTAAGACTTTTAAAATTAAAGATACATTCATAACTTTGATACACACCTTCTGATAGACAGATAGACAGACTATGCAGCTGTCAATGGAGAGAGAAAAACTGTCTATGTTGGATAATGAGGATTTTCTTCCTCTTGGAAGGAGCTCAGCTTTTTCATTAATAATTTAATAAAGTTAGAAGGGAACTTTCATTTCATTATCTTACAGCCTATTTTATTTCAGACAAACAGGTAAAGGAAGAATGTAGAACTGGGTTTAAAGGAAAAGCATAGCTGTGTCTCCCTCCTGTAGCAATGGAAATCGTTAGGAATCCAGTTTCTTTGGGTTGTTTTTGTGATTTCTTTTTCCACCACTAGATGGTGCCCTGTCCTCGTTTGGGCCTCCTCGCACACCTGCGGCTCGTTGGGTCATCACCAGAGGAGTATTTGAGCAGTGGGCTGTCACTACCTTGACGTCAGAGTGTTTGCCTGTATTGGGTACTCTAGCCAAACTGAGACTGTTTTATAGCATCTGTAGATTAGCAAGTTGGAGTTAAAGGCTCTTGTTCTACTTACTGTGACCATGATGAGCAGAGCCAGCATCATTCCCAGCATTATGTACAAATTATTGGTCAGTCCTCCAGCCCACAAAGGACCCAGGATGGTAGCCAGGCCTCCAACCGAGCGCCGAACACCTTGGCTAAACCCTTTCAGGGAACAACACAAAAAAATTCCAGTTTCGATTTCTCTTAGGAGGTTTTATTGTTTACTTTTTGGAAAATGAAAATCAATAATCGATAGCGTGTAAATCTAGATGGCATCAATGAGCAAACCTTGTGTTTTCTCAGCAGTGACTTTGGAGAATAAAGACACCTGAGACACGGCCACGAAGGGAAGCCCCAGGAGCTGCAGAAAAACTCCCACGATGAAGGCTGAGAGCTGCCATTCATATCCGCCTGCAAAGCATGAGGAAAACGGTGAAATACAAAAAAACACATCTATGAGTTCCCCGTTTATGTCTTTGGGAATAAAGCACATGTTTTTTTCTGCCTCTGTTTTTTATTTTTATTTCAGCCAAGTGTCAACGATCTGAGCAGAGTAACAGCCAGACTTCAGTTACTACCTCTCCCCTCACCTCCCACCCCTCGGTTTCTAGGTTTGCCTCCACAAACGCTCTGGCTCCTTCACAGAAAGCTCTGTCTGCGAATGAAACTGCTGCCAAGCTGGCAGTCACTCATTCCTGTTCTGTTGCCTTGCATCATGCACATGCTTGTATGAATCTGTGCCCACTCAAACGGTTGGATGTTCCTGTTTGAGCTGAACGTCTGTAATCACATGATGAAAAGACCATTTCCACAAATGAAACTGGTTCCCTCAGAGCTCCACTGCTGGAAAACAGGTACGGTATCTGTCTGCCATAAGTTTGATGCTTTTGTTTGTTTAAGTGGAACTGCAACAAATGGGGAACAAATGCAGGCTACGCTCTAACAAATAGCTTTTTTCCCTTTAATTAGGTTACTGTAATCCTGTTAAATGTACCCAGGCTGTACCCGGCTCCAGCACCTGTCACTGTTAATCAGAGCGATAAACGTGACGAGATGCAACAGACGCAGGCCAACATGAACACACAGGATCCAGCCTGCCTTTGTGATCACCACCAGAGCCTGAATAATGTCATTTACAGAACGCATTCATTTCATCTGATGGGTTACCCAACGTGACTGGGCTATACTCTGCACGGCGACACACACCCACACACACACAGACCAAAACAGCCGGCTCTGAAACACAGACAGTGCATTTGTGTGTTATCATGGACAGGTTAGCACCTCTGGGCTTGCAGAGGAAAATTAGGCACCAGATACAGGCGGCGGAGCAGATGACCAGGCCCACGGCCAGAACCACACGGTCTGCAACCTTGTTGCTCAGCCAACGCACGAAGAAGAAGCCCACGATGACCTCCACCCCACACAGGCTGTACATCAGGCTGTTGCCCAGCTCGCCGAAGCCGAAGTAGCGCTGCGTCAGAGGGGTCACCATGGTCTGCAGGTTTTTAAAAGACAAACAACCAGGTTAGATCTGGAGGAAATTCAAAAAAAAAAAAAAAAAGAAAAATTAGCTCAAACAGGATTGCAATTTAAATTAAAAGGTGTTAAAAAAAAACAATGAATACCCCTTAGAAATTTAGTGTTTTAAGTATTTTGTGAAACTCTAAACCAAAACTATGTTTTTTTTCAAACTTTACAAAATATTTTCATAACTTTTGTGATTATACTATTTGAATGACCCTTCTGTCATGGCCTGAGGGCATCTGTATCACTTTTACCTTAGAGAGAGGTACTAAGCAACTCTGAATAGGGTAGCTGTTAACCTGACTCTGCCAGATGGATTTATTCCGCATATCCATCTGAAAACCTTCTGTTGAAGTAATTTTGGGAAGGGGCGAAAATACTGGTTAGCTGATTGGCCTATGTTGGTGATAGACGGGCCAAATAAACCAATCAGATCAACGAAGCATATGACGTAACAGAGCGACGACGAAGAGGAGCCAATTGATAGATCAAACTCTTGCCGAAACCAGTCGGGAGAAGAGCAAAAACATCTTTTCCTCTGAGAAAAGCCTCTAGAGCAGTGTTTTGCTCTTCTTTCATTGAAGA